GAAATTAATACTACATTAAAGTAAATAAATATTTTGTATAATTTTCAATTTTGATCTTTGAGTTCTACGTTAACATAAATATGATTGCCACTGTAGTAGTAGTTATGATGATGATTTTACCAGGGGCGAGAATTATTATAATTCTCGTCGTATGTCTACTGATACAACAAAACATTATTTTCTATATTAATTATTAAAATGTATAAATGATTATTATTATTGTTATTTTTTAATTTGTGTAATTGTGAGATATTTTATTAAAAATACAAGTATTTTGTTTTTCATATCGAGCAAACATTTTATTTTAATATAAATATAATGTAAACATATCATTTTACAAAAATTAATTATTTCACCCAATATTACTTAAAATGTAAGTGTATCTACACGTATATATAATTTGAACAGTGAGGCATTATTATATCTTTACACAAAGGATGATTAAATTCTAAATATATATATTTCAAATGACACACTTTCGTATAATGTTGTAAAAGTGGTAAAGGTGTACGCGAGAAAAAATTTAATTAAAATTAGTCGGGTAGACGTAAGTATTACATCAAATGTCAAGATTTTATTTTAAAAATACCACTATTTCGACTTTCGTGTGTGTGTGTGTGTGTGTGTGTGTGTGTGTGTGTGTGTAAAACTTAAGTTTGAACGTTACTTTTTTCAAATTAGCGTTAAACCCTATGCAGAATTTAACACGTAAAACATTTAATGGATATTAAAAATTTGCATTCAAATATTAATTTGTACATTGTGTATATTTCCTTAAGTATGCAGCTTTTATTTTAAATACTGAGCATCCTTTTTATGATTATTATCTAGTTTTACACAACCTCGGTTTATGTTCCTTTACTAATAGAAGGCGAGTTGCTAATCTTAATTTTCTCAGCCAACTAATAGACGGCCATATTGACTCTCCCGTTCTACTATCTTTGGTTAGCTTTAAAGTCCCTTCCACTTCTGTCCATCATACACATCCATTTTGTATACCTAAGTGCAACACCGAATATTATGGTCTTTAGATCGATGCGTATGACATTGAGTGATTCATCAGCTTTTTAGTTTTTTGTTATATATTTATTTGTTGTTTTTATATTTTATACGTTGTAATATGTTATTTTTAATTCTGTAATTGGGCTCAGTCCGTATTGTTGAAAATAAAACAAAATTTTATTTTTGAAGAAAACATCTAAGTCTTGAGAATTTCAGATTTTATAATTAATTATAACTTGCTATTCGTTTGTTGTCTTATTACTAGTTGTTTTGAAGTGGTATATTTTTATGTATTATAAATAATGAAATATTCATAAATTTGAATACACAATATACATAAATAATGACACAACACTTCATAAATGGAAGGTAAAGTATTTGCATTTATGAATTAGACTTGGTAATAAAAAGAATAAATAAAATTAATTTTTAATGAGATAAATAAAAAAATTAATTTTGGTATTTTACAATTCGTATACTTATTAAGTAATAAAAACTAATAAAATTAGTTTATATCAACTAATAATAAACGAGTTATTCTATTTCAATTTTACAAATTGTATAACTTAAACTTAAACACGTATATTGAACTGATAGTACAATTATTAATATGTTCGTTTGTTATCTGTTAGATTTGAATCGTTTACTATTATACATTATAAAAATCACGTTTTAAAAATCGTGAAAAACTGGTGAAATGTATATTTCTTTGTAATGTGTCATTACTGATTTATTTTAATATATGTATATATATTTTAAATTCTGAATTTAGAGAAGAATGTATTGGTTTCAAAAAGCTGTTTATTTTTTTATTTTTTATTTTATGTGAACACTTTTTCTACCAGAAAGCTCACTTTGTTGTGTGTGATGTAGTCTTTCTTCTGAAAGGAAATTTTCTTGAGGTAGTACTTTATAGAGGTAATTTTTGGATTTCTCAGGGGTTTTCTCATCAAATGTGAAAAAATTTCATTGTTTTAAAATTTCGCAAACTATGTTTTCTACAATATAAATATTACTTCGATCGAAAAATGATAAAAGATCGATTTTGTTTCTTTAATTGTATTGCCGATGACAAAGAGAATTATTTTTTGATAATTGTATAAAGCAGTTTTCATAATAAGTTTATATTTTTTTTTACCAGAAATCTTTATCCGAGTTTCAAGAATAGTATATTTTATGAAACAAAATGTTGTCTAGTTTTCGAGTAAGAAAGTCCTTTGATTTTCCTAATAATTACGAAAAATCGGGAAAAACGTAGAAAGTACAGCAATAAGTGTATGGAATTTGGGTTTTTTTTATTGTTATTCGGTTCATAAATATTTTAGAGACTTGTAGTTTTCACAAAATACTTATTTTATAGTTGTAGTAAAATGTTTAAAATATTCTTGTTATTTTTATGCTATAAGTATTTGATATTTCATACTCTTAAATGTATTTTTATTTGGTAAGTATCCGTTATTAAAATTATATGACTTTATGACAAATGCTTGGAAATTCAACACAAAATACATTACATGTTGTACTTAGTGGTCTAAAAAAAAATTAAAGTTTAATGCGTTATTAATATTTTTTTTCATAGGCGTTTTAAGACCAAATTAGTTGGTTACAATTGAATAACTTCATGTATCTCACTTTTTCAACCACCCGCTTTCAACAGTAGAATCACTCGTCCTTGATATCAGCACTTTTTTAAATTTTTTTCAATCGAATTGATGTCAGGGGGACACCAATGTAGATAAAAATTAAATTTTTATTTCCATCCCTTAGTCACTAAAAAATGATTAGTTAATTTTATCCCTTTTAAAATTTTAAAAATAACCTATTTGTAAAATATATCATTCTACAAATTTAAATTAAAATCTCGATTGAAATAAAAAAATAATAATACTATTGATAGAGTTTTAAGCATTCGGATAACTGCACTCTAGGACATTATCTGTACATAAGTATCGATTATACTAAACCGTATTTATTACAATATTTAACGTTTGATAAAATGTATTAATTTGATTTTTACTATAAACTACGTCTGGTTCGTTAAACATTATTATTTAGTTGATGTGCTTTTCAGCTTAGAAGTACGAGAGGTTAGGTTCGGTTGGATACCCCTTCGTATAGACCATTGTTGTATATCGAACACTAGAGTAGTATTGAAAAACAAAATAGGTTGGATTGTGATTTATTTAGATCTAGTTTTATGCAGAATGCGAAACGGCTATTCCCCTATAATAGCGCTTATTTTTATTTTTTATTTTTACATGACAAATGTATTGTTAACATTCGTTTGGTGTCCTTTTGGCAGTTCGGACAACTTGAAGAACTTTTGAGAAGTCGTGAATGACCCTTGATTTTAGGGAGACCATTTTTCGGTTTATAAACAAGAATATCTTTTTACACATATTTATCAGGTACAGATTACTACTACCTATAGTTTTAGCTTAGTTTCCTATTTAGTATATGATATAACTTTGTATGATTTTCAAGCTCCACTTCCTTGTACGTATTTTGCGAAAATCTAAGACGCATACTGTTACTGAAAGCTATTTACGCGTGTCGTCATTTGTGTCCAGCCGATTCATCTGATTATTCTTTATTATGAAATATGAATATGACTCGAAAATCCCCACTCACACCAAATAGTTATGGAAAACATAAGCGTAACTAGGTCTTTGAATTAGGGTAGGGCTAGAGCCCCATTTGTTTTTTCTTTCATTATATTTTCAGGCGAACCCCCTCCCTATGTAGGCAATTATCAGAAAATAACATTTTATAAATAATACATGAACAGATTATAATTTGAGTTTGTGATCGTTTTTAGCAAATGCATCTACAATGTTTACTGTATTGATTTTATTGGATAACTCACGAACGAGTTCAATACATAAAATATATAATATTTAGTAAATCTATCCTGTGAAATTATTGAACGGTTATAATTATGAATGCAATGTATCATTGAAAACAACCATTTGTGATTAATAAATATAATTTTTATAAAAACATTTTTTTTTTTTAAATTTTACTGAAGTTAATATAAAATACTGTTAATTGTTTAATGTAGACATGTAGCCTTTTTTGAGGGGGGGGTGCTAAATTATAGACTGGGGGGCTTAGTCTCCTAGCTCCCTAGGTATACCTATGGTGGAAAATACCACGAGAATAACGTTAGACAATGCCTTGATGTGGAAATATGTGATATTATTGCGCTCGGTTTTTTTTTTTTGCATGAGTAAACATAAAAAAAGTAAAGTGGATATAAATCTACGGCACTGCGGACCAACAATGACAGACTCACAGACCAACGGTTGATACCCACAGATGATTTTTTTTTTGTGCCATACAATATTTAAACAATAATGTAAACAATTATTTTTATTTATTTTTATTTTGTTGCAAGTTTAAATATGAGAGTAACCTATTTTAAATTGTCTTCGATTGTTGTAGACTCAGAATTTAATTAATATTGTGCTTATATGGAGTTTATTACAGACAAAAAAAATACTGTATAAAAAAAAAATCAATAATATACCGCATATATTATATAACTAATTAATTACATACTTTATAAAGTAAACTTTTTTGATACTTGAAAAATCTAAACTATCGAACGCGCATCGCCATTAATCAAACTGAAAGAAGGATGAAAAAAAAAAACGCGTAGGTAGAAGAAAATATTTAAACGATGTACTACTTTAAAAAAATATATTTAATATTTCATGCATAAAAACCAAAGTATACACTTTATAGTTATGTAAAAACCCTGCAAAAACTGGAATATAAAACATTTACCCGTATAACAAAGTATCATACCTATTAATACGTATTAATATAGTCAATTAAATTTTTAAAAATAATTTTAACACGTTTCACGGTGTCATCAAATTTTAAAATTTCACCGACCATTATTGCAGGACTTATTCCAAGGATTTTTCTCTACTATCCAAAAACCCTCTCATAGGAAGCATAAAGACTTCTCCGATTTTATAGTTGTATTATTATAGAACCTGAATTGTACACATTAATTTCTTTTTTGAACATGTTAGGTACGTGTGTACAGAGTACAGACCTCCAAATTCATGAAGTTAACTATACTTTTGACATCACCTATATTATATGTATACCTAAACCTAACCTTATTTCGGGCTCTATATATACTACTCGTTAGGATTAAGCCTGCGTTATCGTCAAATTCGTTTTTCGAACACGTCATATTTGATTATAATTTCTAATTACTGTTTCTTATAGATTGTAAAACGCGGATTTAGAGAAAAACTTTCGAACTTATAATATAACAAAATAATAATACTAATTGTATTTAGGCATTGAAGTGATTTAATTTATTTAACGAACTATAGCAGCGACACGTGCTGAAGGCCGAGGTAGAAATTTCGGAACAACTTTAATATACAGGGCGATCAATATAACATAAGGGTAAAACACATATTATTTCTGAATGTTTTTACGTTTTTTTTTTTGGAAAATTTAAGCTGCATACTATATTAGTGGAGCATCATTGTGTGGTGGTTATACTCTATCTTCTACCCGCACTAAACGACAAACTTAAGAATAGAACGTCTCGTCAACGGCCAAACAGACATTGAACATTTCCACGCAAAACTTCATTTTGACTAAAACTTCGTAAATTTACCGAAATTTCAATGCGTGTAATAGGTTGTCGTTTGAAAATCGATGTACCTACACGGTAGTGACGATAGTTATACCCCGTAAATATAGATAAATATTATTATGTTATAATCTAAATAATTTAATATGTTTACTCAGGTAGTATACACACCGTCATCGGACCTTATATTTGACGTACGTAATCTAATAATAATAATAATATGTAAACTACATAATATAGTGGGCGCATAAAGCAATACGAAAAGCGTTGTAGGTGCACGCACACCTGCCTATCCTTCATGATGCTGTCCCACCGTGCGAGATCGCTGTAATAATCAGCCGTATATTATATAGAGTGCATCTCGCGTATATTATATTTTCCTATCTTCGTCATTATAATATTATCCTGTGCGCTCTGTTGGGAAACTCCGAAAGGTCACGTACGCGGTCGTTGCGCGTCCGTTATTAAAAAAAAAAAAAGGTCTTATTATAGTAATAATTTTGGTGTGTATAAGATTATTATGTATATAGATTTACATTTCCCCCTCCTCTCTTCTCAACGTATTCACTTTCAATCCGAAACACCCTCCTTCACCTCCCTTCGAACCACGAGTAGGTCACTGTTGCAGGTGGGTAATTTGGAAAGTATACCTAAATGATTTATAGATAATAATAAAATAAAGGAAGCGATTTAGTTTAAATATACTGCACGAAAATCAATGCAATCAAAAAACGATTCTGAATGAAAGTAAGACGGTAGTATTAAAAACGCTTTCTGCCCCCCCCCGCTTTTTCAAGGTTCGACATGAATAAGTATGAAACATTTTTACTAACTGAAAAAGTGTTTTTCAGAAAAATAATTCGAAAGATACTTCCTATTAAAACAATAATAGCTGCTTTAATATGTTCAGAATTTAAATTTATCGCATATACGATAAACAATTCCGAGTTAGGTCAAGGATTTTGATTAATTAAAATTATCGACAGTTTTATTAATTTGTTATTATACACAAAATATAAATTAACGATATTGTTATTTTTGTTTTAAACGAATTGAACTATACAATTGAATTTAAAATGCTTATATCAAAATAAAATAGGACATACCACTCGACTTCTTTTCTTTTTTTAACCACAATAAAAGCACAATGCTTATGAGGACTTCGTATTCTCAAGCATTATCACAGAACTAAATTTATTTATTTCACATAAATGGGAAAATGGTATATAATTATTATTCAAAACGTTTTTATACTACGATTTCTTTTGCAGCGCACATAATGTGCTTCTAAAAATCTGTAATATTTTGTATCTGCCTACATTTGAGGGCAACTGGTACATTCGATTGAGGGCAACTGGTACATTTTTAAAATCCCGATAACAGCCGTTGGGAGCATCTGGTCAACAGCCGGTAAATATTCATGCGGTAAATAATCGCGGGTACACCGATAAACGATTCTTTAAAGGTAGGGAACCAAAAACGTCATGTTAACCGTTTAGTGGTTAAACTCCGTTTATTATTTTGTCTGGCTATCGGTAACTGGTAAAAATAAGTTAAATAAAAAAAAAAATAAAAAAAAAAAAGAAAGAATGAATTTCACTCAAACAAACCACTGATATTCATACAAGAGCCGTAAAAAGAGATGCAACGATATTAGTTATAGCAAATAATATTATAGAGAAAAAACTCGAGTGGCAATCAACGTTTTATAACAGAGAAATTCAGTGTTTTCGTTTAGTAAAATGGCGTGAGCTTTTTTTTTAAATTATCCGTGAACACGTATATAATTCACTATAAAGATTTCGTTTTACAGTCTACAATAACAATTAAATATTGATTGGTAATTGAACAGACAATGAACGGAGTATTATTTTTGAGAGTAAATTTTCGACAATTCTCATTATCGCTGTCTATATCCGTTGCGAAACGTTTTGAAAATAGATAATAATATTATATTATTATTTACTGCGGCCGGCTAAAGAAAGTCTATAGTATTCGATTTTATTTAATCCTTAAGTCTTGATAATATTATTATATGTTACCAAATTTTGAACCATTTCTGTTGATATAGTATATAAAAAAAAAAAAAAAACACGTACAAATTATTGTTTTGTATGTTTTCAAATCTTTTTTTCTTTTTACTTCTAATTTTAATTGAAATATAATTCGAAATACCGTTATTGATTATTAGTTAAGTTATTATTGGTAACTACCACAAACTAAGTGAATGAAGTGAAACGATATCAGAAATTCTTTGGTTTGGTAATGTTTAATTGAAAAAAAATACGTGATTCGCGCAAGTTTTAATATTTCTTTAATTAAATAAAATACAACTAAATAATCAACCAAGGAAAAACATTTTCTAACATTTGCGAGTATATAAAAAATGGTTTTGAAATTTATATTTTGCAAAAAATATCACCGTAAGTTATAAGCTTTAAATAATATATCTTAGTCATTATTATGAATGAGTAGGTATATTTCTTAATATATTTGTTTAAAAGTGCTTTTATTTTAATTTACAGTTTTAATTTTCTGTTTTTAATTTTAATTAATAAATTTACTACAAATACATTAAAACATTTATTATATAGGTAATTTAATATAGTCGTTACAAAAGAAACTGATAAGGGCAAAATAAGAAAACGAATAAATCAATTAAACATAAAATTATATCTGTATAATTTTAATCTCTTTTTTTCTTCTTTTTTTTTTTCTTTAATGTAGATGTTTTAAAATGAGTTATTTTTCTTTTTTAAATCGCCTTTTTATATTACATACACTAAAATCAAAGTAGGTTGATCGTCATAATGTTTATATATATATATATATCGTTCAAAAAGGAATTCCTTATTCCTTATTTTACAGCTTTGCTGTTCCATTTTCCGAATAAACTTCAAATTCGGGATTCGTCTTGTCTGCAGTTTTCCCGTATTCGTTCACATTTCCATTCGAAATTCTAAACAATACACGAGATTTTAATTCCATAACTGTATACATCATATCATATTATTAACTGCAGAGATCACCAACGGAAATATGTTCAACTATAATACATACAGTTATATGTACCTACATGCAATGCACAAGCGACGCGTGAGTTGGATTTATTATTTTTTTTATCGTAGATTCTCCAATGAAACAAACGAGAAAACAAAACCACTTATAGATTGTCGAATACGATACAATTTTGTAAACAACCTTCTTTTATCATTCACTAGGGAACAAAAAACCAAATTATAATAAAAAACCTGAAATTTTACCCTGTTTTCTCATCACCACCTTCTTTTGCCTTAGACGTTAAGTAAAGAGAAAATAATGGAAAAATAGGAATAAAAGAAGAAGAGAAACTAAACAAATTAAAAGTTTGGTAAATGTTGATATCAATGTATTTTTAGGATAGTTTTTTTTTTTTAGTAAGTATGTCATCGTTTTCTTTTTGAGCTTGGCATTTTTTTGGTTTTATAATTATTTTTTGGGGGGTATTATATTTCGATCTTTACATTTTTTTTTAAATCGACATAATGACTCAATCGAAATGGCAAAAAAAAGAACAAGTTCTTACCGGCACGTTGTGTAGCTATATATAAATCAAAGAGATAATTTGTGATGAAAATACCATTATAATATACAAAACGTTTGTATAGTTTTTACAGATATTTGCATACAAATTTTATTCGTTCGTCTCGTCAGCGTAGCATCTTCAGATGAGTGTTTTTATTGTTGTTTAAATCGCCATCCACGGCGAGGCCGTAACTTAGATTTATATTTATATAATAATATATAGAAAAGAAAACCCCACATGTAATCTGGGAAGACATTATAAACGTATACGATTGTATACGAGTAAAGCGTTCGATTGAACGGTCGGGCAATTTTTGTTCAATTTCGGCATATGCGGAGATAAACTATTTCCACGGGACGATTTATGTCTATATTATAAATAAAGTAAACCTATTATTATATAAGGATAACTGCTTCTTCTTCTTCTCTGATTTCTAGGCCACTAAGATCTATCCTGTCTCACATCTAATCCTCTATCCACATTATCTCTATGTCCATTGCTTTTTCTTTCCAGTTTAAACCTCCGCCAATATACCCGTAGTATTTCGAATTTCCATCGAGTATTTTTCTGTAACATCGATATTTCCCCATCTCGTGCTGGGCGTTGCTGCAGAGAATCTTTGGCCACGCGAATTGTGCTCAATCGCCGATTTTAATAAAAATATAATTAAATGTAACAGTTATAATTATGTACGATTAGTTTTGGAAGAGAACGAATTTATTTCATAGGAACGAGGAACGGAAAATAATTTCTATTTAAGAGGAACTTGAACGCAAATTAACGTTCTTATTGTGAAAAAAAAAATAAATACATAACACACTAGTTATTTCAGTAGTAATAATGTATAGAAATTATTTAGTGTTGGTATCATTTTGTCAGTTACTTATAAATTTCCACAATGACACAATGTATTATTTTTCCATTTTTATTAACATGCGGAAAATAAAGAAATAGATAAGGTCGTGGAACGGGAAAAAATTATTTTTTTGTAGTAGAACGAGGTACGGGACCAAGTTCCTTTTTTGTAGTAGAACGAGGAATGGGAACGAATTCCTTTA